TTCACGAGAATACCGAACTTCCGACATAATTTGGGATAAAAAACGTTTCTTGTGTATAATGAAGATATGAAACGTGACAAAATTTGTATTATTTCTCCAAATATACACACACATGCACATATACAAGCGTGTATAGTTTGCATTTTTGTTTATATTCAGCTTATCAAAATTGTCGTGATGAGCAATAAGTTAAAAGAGAAAAAAATAAAAAAAAATAAAATGTTTTTGTAAGTCTTATGTATTTATAAAATTTGACCTTTTACGATATTAAGATTTTAAGAAAATAATTTGGATTCAAAATTTGTAATTAGATAACTATGAAATTTTTGTTGAAAGCAAATTTTAACAATTAAGCATAAAAAGAGAGAGAAGAATTTTATTGCAGTGCAATGTAAAAGCTTAAAGAATATTTCCATATATATTGGTAGCTCTAATCAAACGAAATTAGCATAGAACTAATTTGGAAAAGACAATTCGCATTTATAGCGTATATAATATAACTACTACTTATATAAAATAGACCGACTTGACAGTTGCAGTTATAAGGTAGGACTGCAGTCATAGCAGTGTGATTTAATTTAATTATTTAATTATTTCACTGCACCAAATAGTTTAAGGTTGTAGTTGTGTAAATATTTGTCTAGAAAATATGTAGGAAAAAAAATTGATACTTACTTTCTTAGAGTTTTTAATTATATCCGAAAATATTTCAATTTTGACCTAAAGCGCCGATCATCAAATTATGGAGAAGAAGGTTACATTTATTATACGATATTTAATAATAAATTGAAAATTGAGGAAGAATCAAGTATCCGAACTTTGTTTTGTGATTTTTTGTATAAATATTCGTTTATACTGACAGTTCTACTTTTTTTAGTGCTACCCTCTTGCAATTCTAAATTTATAATAATTCATATATAGAAATATTGTTTACATGCTTAAAACAGGGCTGAAAACAATAGGTGAGTTGAAATTATTTTGTAAATGGAATGTCAATCATATTGCTAAAATAAACGTTTCAGAATATCAACAAAGTTTTCGTTTGGAAATTCTTGAAGTTATTTGGCTTGCAATATAGATCTAAAATCGATATAAAAATTTGGTGATACTTTTATAAATAAATCTTTTATTGAAAAAAAAAATATGCCAAAAGTTCAAAATTTACACTTTATTTGTATTTAATATGAAAGGTTGAAAAGTTTTGGTATGAAGTCAAGAGCCTTATATGGCACATAATAGTTCTCGGAAGAAATTTTTTACACAGTTGGTTATTTGTAATAGTAATTGATTCCTGGAACCAAATTGTATGAAAATATTAAAAAATTTGTTTGATTTGTCTGGCTAAGGCTAAGGCTTATATTATTATTTGTTATTATTTTTCTTTCTATTTTTTAATACCTCTCATATTTATAGTTAATTCCTATGTTTCTTATTAAATATTAACCAATAATTAAGAATAAAACCCATTTTATAAATTAAAATTTCAATTTTTATTAATCGATTCAAAAATTTTTGTACATGTGCATGCACATAGTATGCATGTACGTGCAATTTAAAAATTTAAAATGTATGTACGTAACTCGATAAATATAATATATAGATTTAAATATTTTATTAATGATAACGTATGTTACACACAAATTTTCAAATAATTATTTAAAATTAAATTACATTATTCATATTTTTCGTTTTGCTTGAATATTGTGCTGTTTGGTGACTAGTAAAATGATTTTCTTAGCACCCATCCATCGTATATATTGATTTGTTGCTGTTATCTGTAAAAAACAAAAAATAAATTAATTTAATCAAATCAACCATTTTAATAAAAATCACAAATAGTTTTTTTAATAATTAGTCATAATATTTGAATTATGTATGAATTGAAATTTAATAACTCATTATGTCGAAATTTTCTGAATTCCTATGCGGGTTTTCAAGTATATTTTAATTGAATATGTAAGTAAGAAGGATAATGCAAGTATCCTTCATACTAAAATTGAATTGTGTATATTAACAAAATATTTAAAATACTTGTTAGTGACATATAGGAAAGGTTCAAGTAAAGCCAAAAATTTTGTTTTATTGCATAAATTTAGATTTCCATTGGAATTTATTCAATTACAAATTAAGGTTGGCAAGGAGGTCATTCTAATCATTTTTAATGGAAATTGCTTTTTCTGATAAATGGTAGATGAAGTTGTTAATGATAGAATCTACTAAAGAAGATATATGCTAGGAAATTTCAACTAAAGCAACAACAAATGATTTTGAAAAGGTTAATTAATATTTTAATTAGAAATAAAATTTCATCAACTTACGATTCTCAGTAATTCGTTATCTTTGTGATCTTTGATTTATTAATACGAGTCGCCGACATTTTTTTTTTTTTTGAAAATTTGTGATAACTTTTCTTATTTTACTTAGATTGAAGTCGTTTGATTATTCTATATTATGTCAGATAAAATATAATGCCACTTCGACATTATTTCTTTTAACGCACCTCATTTACAATTTTATCATAACGAAAATAGTTTCTTAAATTACACTTAGTATCTAATTTTTATAATACTCTATACGTTTTCGGAAATAGTTTAGAACTTAAATATTTTACAAAAAAAAAAAGAAATTTAGGGTAATAAAGTAATTATTAATTATCTCGTCACTTAGTTTACTAAAAAATAAAATATTTATAGTTAACGTTTTATTATTGAATTCGTTTCAAGAAATTTTAGCGCTAAAAAATTTTTGATAGTATAAACGACCTTCATTATATCTGTAAAAAGAAGAAAAAAGAAAATTATTCAAATTTCAATTAATATAAAATTAGTCTGTGTGTGCAATTTATATGAATTTAATGAACTTCTAATTAAAAATCTACTGATTTTCTATAAATATTAAGGTGTTTTCCAGAGAATTTCAAGTTTTGGAATTTTATTATGAAACGTTTACTTATGATTTTTTAAATAATTGCAATTACGTAGCTTCTGAAAATTAGAAAATAGTTATTTTCTTTGAAAAGAGAACTTTAAATATAATAAAGGTTCATGATATTCGAAATATCAAAAGGTTCATTAGATATTAAGAGTTAAATTTAAGATTTTCAAGAAAACGGAATAGTTAAAAATGGGACACCAAGAGGCAATACGTAATATCCGTACGAATGGGAATTATAATCACAACTTAATTTTCAGCTTTCATTCTTATGGTATGCAATAAAAGATCACTCATAAAATTTCAGCATTTTCACAATTTTTGTTTCCCATTAACGCTCTGATCGATTGTACAAATTATTAATTTACGAGTAAATAGGGTCAGAACTTTAATAGGGTAATGTAACTAATAAAAGAAATAAATTTTTGAATAGACTTAAACAAAAAAAAGAAAAATGGCAACATTATACAAGAAGATTTTACGCGCTCTAGCGATGATCAAAGATTGCTGATTATCTTTCTTACTAAAAAAAATTAAATGTTTTCAAGAGAAACCAATGTGCATGTGCAGCATTGTTTCTTTTCCATCTGAAATTATAATAAAATTTTTAAGACATTTTATGAGATTGAAGTATTTTAAGCACGTATTGCACATTTATATAAAGTCTTTATGTATACAAATTCAAAAATAATTTTAGAGCCGATTAAGAAAAAAAAAAGTTTCCATTTTAAAATTCTTAAGGACACTTTACGTAATTTTAAAACATATTTTTTTATGCTCATGAATAGACAAAAAAAACAACAAGAAAATAAATTTTTATAAAGATTGAAAAATCGGAACTGAACACGTTAGAGCTTTAAACATTTCTTGAGGAACCTTGAAAAAAAAAAATCCTTTTTTTATTGCAGATAACTAAGAAATATCATTTGAGTATTTACTCGAATTTTTTACTGCAATATGTGTACTTTTTATTTGTTTTAATTTTATTTTGGAAAAAAGCCAAAAAAACTAAGTAAACTAAAGTTTTTCTTCAGAAAACAACTAAAATTCTGCAGCATTCATCTTATTTTATTTCTTTTTTTCCGTGTAGCGAACTTTGGATATTTGTAAGTTGCAATTCTTCTGTTTCATTTTCAATGTATGATATTGTGTTAAAAAATTTCTATACCCTCTTGGTAAACATTTTTCATATCTTATGATTCCTTATTTGGAGGTTTTTCCTAAATTAGTGGCCATATTCCTGCGATTCTTCGTGCAAAGTTTTGCATGTATAATTCATTTTTTTTTTAAATTAAAGACGTGAGTCTGAATTTGGTTAAAACTTATATTAAGATCAGTTAGAAATTTATTAAAATTTTTTTTGTTCGATGTGACGAAAGTTGGTTTGTTCCTGTTAATAATACTTTTTCTTTATATAATTATTAATTCACATTTTTTTCTGTGTAAGAACTTATTAACTGAATTCGCTGTATTTAAATTTATAATTCAGAAAATTTTATGCTTTACAAAAGATCAGGAAAGTGGCCACATTTTTGAGATAAACAATCTTTTGTGGCTTAGAAAAAAATGAGGGGTTGCTCGTAGAAATCATATGGTAAATGATAAAAATTCAATTTTATTTAATCAAAAGTTTAAATGTAGTATAAAAAATACGACGAGTTTAAGTGTGTAACCTCAGTTGTTTTACATTGTCTCTACGCGGATGAAAATTTGTGATAAGTAAACACTATGAAATTTGGATTCAAATGTTTAAATATAAAATTTTGTCAATAACATCAAACCCTTTTGGTCAAAACAATGAAAGATTTGTATTAATCGGTAAGTCCGACCATAAAAAACTTGATTTGAGAACATTTTTTTAAGGGAAAGATAATTTTAAAAATACAATTGAATTTTCTCAATTTAAAACAGTGTGCGAGTATATAATATTCATAGAAATATGAGCATTTACTCAAATGAAAAAAAATTTAGCACTTTCAATTTAATTAAAATCATAAATTGAAGGATTTGTACTATGCAAAGCACATATGTGGGTGTAAGTGTTAATTATAAAACACTGTGTAATTATAAAAGTGCTGTGAAATTTTACAATTATAATTTTTAATGTGTTCTCGTAATTTGTATATTTTTGATTTATGTAAAAGTACTATAGAAATATTTTAAAATTATTATATACGAAATAGAGACAAATTGTATGCAAAATAAAACACGATTTTTCCAAAGGATTATGTACTTCTTTTTGTATTCTTGTACGATTCAATACCTAACAAACATTTTTATTGCCAAAGAGAGGACATTGAGCTTGAAAATCTAGTGTCTCGCTTAGGGATAACTAGCAAACTTGAAATATTGTATTGTAAATAAAGATTTTGAAATCTAGGTGCGTCTTATCAAATTAACAGTTTGCATTCTTACATAATTATTAAGTTTATGCATACATATACTTATATATACATATGTATATTTTTTAACAAATAACATAATCATTAATCAATACGGACGCAAAACAAAACACGAATTCTTTTCAGATTTAAAATATTTCTTTTTAAACTATCGTTAGTCACGCAATTATATTTATGATAAGCAAAGCTTTTATGCCGTTGTTGGGTTTTATTAGTATTAAAAACTATTACTTTCTATCTTAAAAATCGACACCATATCTAAAGAATGTTTTTAATACTTACCTCCGAAAAAGTATGATTTTTTTTATTCCTTATCTGACAACTATTATTATGAGAAACTACGATGATTTTAAATGATGGATTTGCACTTATTCACTAGATTTCCACCTATATGATTGATGATCATTGAAATTTCAATAGATGTTTGTAATTTTATAATACGCAATATTAATTTAACATTTACCGTTTTTTTTTAAATATTAACTTGTTGTTTTAAAAAACTAGCTTTGATTTCGATTTACTTGTACAGCATTATAAATTTCTCTGATGTCAAAAGTTTGTTCAGGTTCAATATTAAATGATCCACCATCAAAATGACCAAACGTATCGAGGCAATCTTCTAATGAATCATCACAATCGAAATCATCATCGCATTCAAAGTATCGACTCTATATGTAAAAATAAAGTGGTGAAATTTCTTTTTAATAACTCATGATTTAAGATTCTGAATTATTCATTAAATTTTACAAATTTTCAAATCTTTATTCTAATTGACTAAAATTTTGCTTTCTGGTAATTGATTCTAAAGATTGTAAAATGTTAGAAAGTTGAGTCAAACCAATGGTTTGTAATGTAGCACTTTTTCTTTCAATAAGTCAAAATGCTGCTTTTAAAAACAATCTAGCTATGTACAAGATTTTGCTTTTTTATAATATTCAATTATGCTGTGTTGCGGTAGAAAAAGCCCGACCCTACTTTTCTGCGTTAACAAATCTGAAAAATGTTTATGGTTTCTTTGAAATGAATGGTCAAAAAATGGCATATTTCAGTCTTTGAGGGGCGGATGAAAATTTGTGGTAGCAAAAATTTGAAATTTGATAGGGCGCTGAAATTATTACCTAAATGCTTACTTCCAGAAAGTACTTTAATATTTTACGAAACCAAACATTAAAACACTATGCTAAAGAGAAGTTACATTAAAATTATTTACTTAGTAATAATTAAATTTTATTGCATACATTTAAGTTAAAAAATGAAAAAGTTGCAAGATATTAAAATTTTCAGTATTTTAGACTTGCCGCTTAAAAGAAAAATCAAAAATTGTAAAAAAAGCAGTTCAGAATACCCATTTATTTAAACATATTAGAATAACAATCCTTTTTAAAAATTTCTCATGAAAAATAATACATTATAAACTTTCTGTTTTTTAAATTTCAGTTTTTTATTCCTTAGGTCTCTTAAAGAAGCACATAAAGTGAAACTATTGGGTTTATGTATGTGCTAAATATTAATTTGTGCTTTACATAAGCGTTCTCAACAGTTTGAAGACATAACCATAAAAGATTTTTATTGCAAATATGAATAGTCTATAAAAAACTTCTATGTTTTGGGAAACAGCAATAAATTTTGTTGAAACTTGAGTTTGGTTCACTTCTTAAAATAAATTTTGGACGATTAAATCAAATGTCTAACATATGAAAGCTAGTGGTTAAAATAAACAATAGAGGACGAGAGGTTCAAGTTCTTTTATGCCACTTATTAATATAACAATAATTTTATGGCATATTTTTGCCATAATATTCTGGAAACTATGTGTTGATAATATTATTAAAACATAATTGAATTATTAATAACAAAATATTAAATTTTTCATGTTTAAGTAGCTGAATTATGATATAACAAGTGAGAAAAATTAAATTAATGCGAAAGCTGTAACAAAAGCTGGACATATGCATCATATAACCTGATCATAAAACATCATGGATATTAGAGAGATATAAGAAGAAAATTTAATAACTTCATTCATTAAATTTTTTCGCTTTTTTAATTTTAGTTAAGGCAGCCTTTCGGTCTTATATCAATTTTTTTATAGCATAACTCTTGAGTAATAATAGTTTTCATCGCAATAATACTGTATAAATGAACTTTCTTGTTTCTTTGAACTCAATTTTTGTTCAGATGAGAATACTGTGAAAGATAAAATTTAACTGAGATTTCGAGGAGCGTGAAAAAACTTTAAGGAACTTTTGTTAATTTTTTTTAATAAGCTTTCAAAATATTTAAATTTTTAAAAGTTTTTTCTGGACCTATTCTGATTCTAACAATATCAAATTATCTACTCGTATATTTGTGTAAGTTTCATAAAACAATAATGTGTAGGTGACTGAAAGACCTTGGAAAACTTTTAGTAGGCGCATTCAAGGCTAAAAATTGTTTTTCTAAATATATTTTTAAATATATATATTTATATACATATATTTTTTCAATCAACTTTTGTTCTGATTTTACAGCTTTCATTTAAAGACAAACTTCATGTTACATTTCACAATGCAGAAGGAAAATTTTCTATTATATATTTACCAATAATTCTATTGTACTGTGGTGCTATTGTTTGTGAACATTTTGTGTTTAAATTAAAAAAAAGGAAATGTGAACAAAGTTTCTATTGTTTTCTGATTTATCATTAGTTTTGAATTTTACATAATTTTTAGCACTTTTCCAAAGAAAATTTGAAAAACATGGTTATTATTTTCACTCTGTTTCTCCGTCTGTTCATCTGTCTATGTGTCTATTCATTCCTCAAAGCTTATAGTCCGTCAGAGTCCCGAAAATGTAATATTTTGACTGGCTTCCACTACAAGAATCCAATTTGTTTTAAATTTCTGATATCGTTTTTCTTCTAGACGTTAAGTTTTTTTAAAATTTTAACAGCTGTCCCTCTCAGGTTATCGCTTAACAAAATTCATTTAACTTGAAATTTCAGCGGCTTATGTACCTGAAACTGAAAGCTTTTTAAAATTTCCATAAAGGCAGTAACGGTAAATGGCATGCCATTAAAAAATATACATAATTACATATCTTAATTATCTCACTTGCACGTCGAATTCGACTACATATTATGTTTGCGCTTCTTTCAAATTTCTTTCTTTAGTCATCTTCAATATATGCGATAATTTAGTACACTTATATTTTTGTGTATGAACGAAAGTAATTTAAATAATATATGTAAGTAGGTGGTTTTCAAAAGCATTATTCTGATTTGTTTAAGGGAAAACTGCTAATTTGCAAACCTTTGGTTTGTTCCAACTTTATTTATTGTATTACAAGACTGTAGTTGTTCTGTTATGCTTACTGTTATACCACAACGATTTTATCATTCGTATGATTTCATATAACACTTTGTGCGAAAACAATTTGAGTGTTTACAATGGAAGAATGTACAATTTCAAAAACAAAACTTATTTGTGTTGTTATTAACTCTTAACTTTGAAAATGTTCTGTTTTGTTTTATACTAATGCTTCGGTACCAATTGCGATTTATAAGGTATAAATTAATGATAATCCTATGCCTATTTAAATATGTATGTGTTTCCAACTTCTTGAATGCTGATATTTTGCACCAATAAAATAGAAACTACGATATGTGTCGATAGGATACCAAAAGAAACTTCTGATGAAAAGAAGCTAGCAAAATTGTGCTAAATAAAAATTATGTTTTTGTTATGAGGGTTTCTGGGACCAGGTATTTCAGAATTAAAAATTGTAACCTGTAATAGGGTCTTTAGTCTCATATATATAAGTAACGATTATTACCATCTCTTTTATAGAAACTAGTCAGTTGAATTGCAGGTAAGATGGGAATAATAAAAATGTTTCGAATATTTAAAACTGTTACTGTGGTTTGCATTCAGTAATTGTTAAAATAATGTTAAGCTTAATTTACTGATGGTCCAAAAAAAATATTGTCTTTCAAAATAAAATTGAGAAATCTTGTTAAAAAATATGCAGAATCTTATTTAATGTTCAACCAAAGAACTTACTAAGAATTTAATTTACCTGGCAGTCTATGCAACGGCAATTATCACATAATGTACATGAAAGACCTAATAGTTGAACAGCTTCTCGATATAATTCTAAAGTACTGTTACTATTTGATGTTGTTATGTTGCTTGAAGTTCCTGTATTTTGTTTACCATTATTACTAATATTACAACAACTGTGTTTGCTTTCGTTAGCATTGTAATTGTTATTATTATCACAATTTAACAAGGATGAAGTTGTCGTTGGTGTTGTTATTGTTTCAGAATCCGATGTTGACGATGTATCATTTCTAATATGTAAATTTAGATGACCTTTAGCCAATTCTGATCCTTTTTCGCTATTACCGCTACTAGAACTGTGAATTAAAGTATAGAAAAGTGATATATAAATATTTGTTACAAATAAATTTAAGTAAACAAGAAAAGAGATGCAAATGTATAAAAGTAACGGAGATTATAATCAAAAAGATTTTCAATATCGATTCGTTTTTTGGAATATCAGGACTTTTAGCGTTTTAGCAAATGAGTTTTAATGGTAATTCTATAACCAGCTTCTTTATTACAACCATTGGCGAGAGTTACCAGATCATAAAAATGAGAGTCCAAATTTTAAGCAGAAAACAGAAAACGAAGGCCCGTATTTACTGGCAAATGGAAACATTTGCTCGTGTGAGTTCATTTTTTCGATTAACAAAGCATACTTTAAAAACTTTCAATGTCTTAAATTTAACTCGAAAAAAATCTGAGATACAAATGACAAATCTTCTTTAATAGTTAGTTTTCTTTAAGAATGTTTTTGGGAAAAATTTAAGAAAAATCTTATGCAATTTCTTTTATGATTTTAAGAGCACCAGAAATAGAATTTGAAAGCGCCAATTTCTGGTGACAGTGGTGGCAGCCAATTTTAAATAAAAAAATGATAGTATGGCTCGAGACAAAAAAAATTAACCAAATGTCAACCGCAACTTTTATAAATCTGTTATACTTAGAAGTTTTTTTTCTCAATAAAAGTTTAAAATTTTTTATTTATGCAACTTAATCGCTTTTTATAATTAATGCCCTTATATGAAATTTAATGTATCACGCATTACCTGATTCGCTCTTTTGGAAAACTTTCAACCGAATTTTTTTTCCATTTTTCTTCTTCTAAAAATTTCCAAAATTTCGTTTTTTTTGCTATTATCGTCGGTTTAATTGTTGGAAACTTTTTATTTTGTGCCAGTAATGTTGCCGTTGCTGGTGAAATATATAAATTTTTTTGTTGGTCCTTGTTTTGTCGAGTTATTAATGACTTTTGGCTGTGATTGTTTAATTGTGGTTGATGTTGATGCTGAATTTGATGACCGTGTTGAAAATTAAAAAATTTATTTTTTTGATGATCCTGATGTTGTAAATATCCAAATGCATTACTACATGGGAAAAAATTCGCTAAAGCAGCTACACCACAACTACTACCACTTGATGTTGAATGGTTTTCAGCATTCCCTATTTTATTAGAGACCAGATGGTTAGATGATTCTAGATAATGGACAAGATATAAAAAAAGATATGAAAGGAGATTAATAAAAGTTATAAGCTATTAAAAAGTTTTCTTGGTTTTTGGTTTTTTCTTTATTTTCTGTTTTGTTTCAAATTTCATATTTTATAATAAAAGTTTACATAAAAATCAAAAAAATAAACATTTTAAAGTTTAATGTTTTTCATTTTGAAAGGTTGATTCAGAAAATTTCTTAAAATTATTGTAAGAATAATCTGTAAAACGTAAAATTTAAAATAGCAAAAGTATACTATAGATTCGGTTGTGTATGTAATGCGAATAGCTACCTACCATAAGAATAAATAGGACGAGAAGTAAAATCTGTATTCAATCCGCCGAGATCCTGAAAGTTAAAATATGCGTTAATTTAAAGTAATAAAAAAGTTATCAAAAAAATGAATTAAATAAATTATACAGGCTTGTGAATTATGTATTACACTTTGGTATTTAGTATAAAATGAAATTAATATTATATTTTAAAAAAATTCAAAATCCGTAATTCGAACCGTGTGAAAAAGTAGTTAAACCCCAAAATATTATAAAGGACTTCACAATTTTGGTTTGGATAAACATTACATTAATCCAACCAAACTCACAACAAAAGTAAAGTAATGAAATAGATATATGGTAGTTACAATATCTAGAATTACGATCATTTTTATCGCGACCGAGACAAAAACTTGCTAAGCCCTGTGAGAATTTCAACATTTTAATAAATCGATATTAATATAATTAATTTACTTCTGGTCAAATATCACTGACATTGACAACGAGTTGAACCAACTGTACGACTTTGTTCGTGCTACCAAATAGCATCACAGAAAATTTTTCCATTACTTTTTTGAGTAATTTTTCTTTACTTTTTTGAGAAAAGTCGTTTTGAAAGTGTTTGATTGTGAATATTGGCTTCATTGATTATAAGGAAGCATAGGACTTTAGAAAATGGAACAAAAGGAACAAAATCAGGCAGAAAAGTAACTTCTTTTTAGTAAATAAAAATTTCATTGGAGATATCATATTAAAATGCTCTGGGAATGTTATTGAAAGCCAACGGTTTAATCCCTACCCTTTAAAAAAAAAAAACGTATTTTCCGTTGATCAAAATTTTTCCCAATTTTTAATTAATGGAACGTTCTTATAATTTTAAAAATATCTTACAACATCTGTTGGATCTACGTGGAAAACTTTAATTTTTAAAACCAAGCTCATAAAATGCGTTAAATTTAAATTAAATTTCTTTAGAAAAATCAATACAAAATTTTTTAAATGATGTTTAAAATACTTTAAAAAAGGTTTTGAATGAAAATTGAAAATTGAAAAGAAGACTATTAAGGTATAATTAGTTTGACAAACCTAAAAGGCTGCATAAAGTAGTTATAGATTTTCCTTACTTTGAAAAATATTGAAAGATCCATTCTGTCGAAGTCTTCTGTCAAATTCAAATGTTCATTAACCTGTTTTTAATCGCAAAATAATTGTAACAAGATGTTGTCTTGGTCGAACTTGAGCCAATTTTTTGCATAATGAATTTCATTACCTTTCAAGTAAAAATTATTATGTGAAAATTTTATTACTCCTTTCTTATTTTTACGATTGGTCATAATTTAAGATTAAGAAAAAAATCCTTTTTGTTTTTAAAGTAAGCTAAAAATTGATGACTATTACAATTACTCTTATTCACATTTTATTTAGGCCCACACACATAATAATATATCAGTTCCATTACATGGAGTCATTTTTTATAAATAAAAAGAATAAAAGTGTAATAAGAAATGTTGAGTTATTGTGTTCTAAATTAAATATATAAGGAAAAAGGAAAGCATGAAAAAACGTCAAGACCCTTGTATTTCAGTCAACTATAAAGCATAAAAATGTTTTCAACAAACTTCCTAAGCGCAGGTAAATTTTTTTCAATTTGTCAAAGTTAAAAAGAGAAAATACAATCGTAAATATAAAAGATGAAGGGAGAGAGAGGAAAAATTAAATATGATGTTTTCTTCTTTTAAAAAATATATAATGAAATTAAAGGTAACAGTATTTTGAGCACGTCTCAAGTTTTATTAATCATAAAATGTTACACGTTTCAAGTGTAGCATATAATTTGGACGCACATTTTATGTTTTGTCTACACCTATTAGAACAATTGAAATTGTAAGATATCACAGAAAAATTATCAAAGACTTCTTTTGTCCTTGTTTTATGCTTATATAAAATTATATAAAATGACTGCGTTGGTGACTGCTGTTTTACTGACATTTTAATTTTCCTAATGTTTTTTTAATACAGTGTAGGATTCATTAATATTTTCTACTTAAAATGAGAGTAGCAGCAAATACTCTACCGAGTAAGTAGATCACATGTTTTGCTGATAAAGATTGACCACCTGAAACTATTTTGTCTGTCTGATTGAAATATAAAAGATTGCATATTGTATATTTTGTACACATATATTATTTATTTCTTTCATTCTTCATTCTAGATCTTTTTTTTATTTTCATTTTTGCACTTTTGTTAGAAAAAAGGGCTTATTAGTTACAATCTGTGCACCCGTCCGTGTGTCTGTTTATAATGCTTTTACACACTTTCTAGAAAGAGAGATTCTAGAAACTTAGTTTTTGGAAGAAAACTTTTACCTATCCTGCCCCTTCTAAAAGTTACAGCCGCTTTAACGCCCCGGGAATGCCATTTTTTTGACTATTTATATTATATTCAAAACTTGGCTATATAAATTTAAAAACTTTGCAAACGCAGAAAAGTACTGGCTTGCTTTTCCTGGCACATATTTGAACATAGAAATGACAAAATACATGCTAACCGTTATCTAAATCCCGATTTTTTTTTTAATTTTTGATATCTTTTTTTATTTACCGATTAGGTAATAATTGGCAGCTTTTAAACATAAATACATATATAATTAAGTGCGTAAAAACAAAATCTTTTTCCATCTCAAGTTATCATTTGTAAAATTTGAATTTTCTGTGTACTATATTTCCCAAACAGCAAGATTTTTCGAATTTCATTAAAATCGAACGGTAAATGTTTAATATGGCATTAAGGAATATAATTCTTCTTAACTCACTTACTTAACCGTTATGTTATTCTCTATTAATTAATTTTTTTTCTCATCCTAAATGTATGCAATCTTTTAAATATTTTAAGAACATATGAATGAAAGTAATTTTAATAATGTATTATATTGCCATTAATAGCAGCATTTTCAATTGTTCAAGGGGAAACAATTGGTTTGGTCTATTAAGATAAGTATTTAAGATAATGTCTTCAGGCTACTACGTTTTTTACTACCCGTACGAACGTATGTTCAAGGGTATATGAAATTTGCTTTACCGTTTGTAACGCTAAGAAACAATGATCTGGGATATGGACTCAAGCATATGTTTTTGATCAGCGTGAAATTCTGAGTTGGTTTAGCTTTGTCTGTAAGTCCGTCCTTCCGTTCGTCCGTCCGTCCGTCCGTCCGTCCGTCCGTCCGTTCCATAGTCAGGTATGGTATATTTATCCGCACATAGGATAAAAAATTTATACGGGTATCACAACGTTGACATGGTCAACTCTATTTCTTCTCGTTTAACTATAAAAATATGTAGAACAAAATTTTCTCTTAAACTGTATTCTGAGAACAGACCTCGACTATATTAGCTGCTTATTATAAACAGGTGGTAGCTTTCATAGTTTAAGATTTTTAAAGATTTTGAAGTTTAACTGCAATGTACTCGTAACTCTGACAAATATTTTTACAAACAGTGTGCTTATTATCAAATTCACTTCTGTATAGATTGTGTTACAGCATCTAAATATTCTCACACATGTGTATGTGTAAGTGGTATAATCAAATATATTCAAATTATAACCGAGTGTAATGAATTTATTTTCGTTTTCACAAAAGATATAGTACATCAAAAATGCGTCTTGTTTTGACTAAAAATAATGGAATAATTAAACTTGAAATATTTCAAAATTAATTTTCTATCATAAAGTTTCAAATGTTTGATTATATTGCATGTACGTCTATTTCAAAATGTATCCGCCTCCATTAAATTACAGTCTTTAAATACCATACCCGAATTCATATAAAAATTTTGAATGTTATTTTATTGCATTTAAATCAATTGGGTTGAAATTTTCATTTCCTCGTGCAATCCATTTTTATGCCACATTTATTTTTTTTTTAAATATACTTTAACGAATTACATTATAATATTTTTTGCTTGGATGTTATAGTTTTCTACAACAATTGATTCACATTTAAAAATTTCTCTTCTTCTGCTTACAATGTCTGGTGTCCATATTGTTTGCAATTCTGAATGCAAATAAAGTATATCATGGCACAGAGAAAATAAAATAAAATATTATAAATTCTAAAATTGTAACGCATGAAAACTTTAAAATGAATGTTGTATGTTTGTGAATAAAAATTTTTACTTAAATTGAAAAAATTTTATTCTTCAAAGCAACAAAAACAGTTCTGCATCACCATAAACATCTCACTTGGCTCTTTTCTATTTATTTTTCATGCAAGGTTTATGCAAATGAATTTAAGTTTTTTTATATTGTTTTTAAATTAAAAACTAGATAGTTTTCTTTTTATTTTTTTTTTAAGGAAAACGAAGAAGAAAGACAGTTTTTAAAAAATGTTTTAATTTCGTTAAAAATTGCTTGATTTTTCAGTAAAAACTATTCTTAATGTATGTGCACTGACGTATATAAAAAGTTTTTATTTATTCCGCATATTGTAAAAAGTAAAAAGAAATAAAATTTTTAGAACTTTAAAACAAATTTTACTTACATTAAACTAAAAGATTTTATTCAAAATAATGTCCTGTATAAAGGACACTTTATGAATAACGCTTTCTTAGCAAATAAACAAAAAAAAATATGGTTGACGTCAAATCACATTTTGACTCAAGTATACTTCTTTCAATGTGGCAAGTGAAGGCAACAAATTATTTTACTGTTTAAAAGCGAGGAGGTCTACCATACCAAAATAACGAGAAAAAGTTTTTTGTCTAAAATTACGCACCATGAGTATAATTCCAAAATTCTTTAATCGATTATGCAAAAGCTAGCCATTGGCATGGATGTTTCCATTTCGATAATGATGGCGGTGTGACTTACTTAGTAACTGATATTTATTCATATTACGATTGTATAATTTTTTGTTTCCAACCCCATAGTCTATTTGCTGGATTTTGAACCAAGTAAATCATCTGACATAGGTACATAAATCTTAAATCGAATATTATTTGTAAACTAGTAAAAAAATTGATTAAAATTGGAAAGATTATTTTAGTATTTTTAATATTATAAAATTGAAGTTAAAAAAACTTTGTTTTAATGTTGATAGCATGTCTAAGATTTCGATTAATTCAGCTATCACAATAGAGAAATTTTGAATGGACACCCGCGGCAGAAGAAGAGCATCATTAATCTAAAAGTTGTTTCATAATATTATTCTGTCACTATTTTTTGAATTTTTTCATCACAAGTGGCAATATTGCAAAATGCTTTGTAATATTAATAATAATAAATGCTTGGAAACAAATATATTTTTTGAATGTACTTAATTTTTAAAATTAAATATCGAATCCTAGTTTGTACAGCCCATTTAAACACAAAAAATTACAAAAAATTAATTTGGCTGTGCAAAAATTATTTATTAGCGTCACCGTAAATCAAATAAAAAGCTGTTGAAAAATTATGATTGTAAAGATATTGAAAAATCATAAATCATCCCTTAAATATTGCTATTATTTGTGTAAATTGTTGAAGTACATGAAAAGAATAGCATTTTTCTATGATAATTTATTTGCTTATTTTCTTCTATTTACTTACTCCATAATTGTAGTTTGTATTTAATACATAAATTGTACTTTTGTTACAATGAAACGGTAGATCATCCATTTAATTGCTTCTCTTGTTCCACTTTCCAATTGTTATGTTGACAATTTTAAGCCTGAAATTTGAAAAAAGTAAGTTTTTGTCTTGTTATTTTAATATTTGTAAAGTAAACAAGTAAATAATTTTGATTTTGTTTTTCCTCATTTATTTCCAATACTTATACACATATTAAAAGTTCGCATTATTATTGAAAGCTACGTCACAATAGTTTGTTAATGAAACGTTATGATCTGTTGCAATCATATTATGTAGAAGATTAAACTAACTTATATTGAATAAAGGAAACTAGTTTTTAAACCAAGAGAGCTTTTAACTTTTCCTTTATTAAAATAGCCTGGCGTATTTTGGAATTTTTTAGGTACTAATGAATAGTTCGTTTTGTAAGAAGAATGTTTTTTTTCCACCTCCACCCGCTCTCAAGTTAACGCCTCACAAAATTTGTTAAATTCGAATTTTTAACACCTTATATTACCGAAACTGTAAGGTTTTCATACCATTAAAAAATTTAATTATTTTTCTTAAATCATCCTATTAACCCTTAAATTTGAGTTAACTTCTCTTTCAATTTCTTTTCCGTCTCATTTCAGAGATTGTTGACATTGATCATCCTAACGGTATGCAATCTTTAAAATATAATATTCGTATATGAATTAAATTAATTTTAATAATGTAGTAGTTTACTTTTTTAAAGTGGTATTTTCAGTTCGTGAAGGGAAAGTGCTACATTACAAAACATTGGTACATAAAACATTCGTAATGGCCTTGTTTTTTGTTATGCGGTTATTCAAATTCGTTTTAGTTAAGTATTCTCTTTTTATACCCGCACGGTACATTTTAGAAAAGAATATATGGAATGAAAACTTTGGTATGGAATTTATAACTCCTTCATGGAGCCGTCTGCATTATGAACATGCTCATTTTCTCAAATTATGCGTTTATTTAGACATTTCCGTCCGACCATACGACAACTTGAAAGAAAAAAAAATAAACATCAGAAACTTTCAGAATTTTTTTTTTGCATCAAATGTCTACTCTTGTGATTGGACTAATTCTGATAATGAGTTCTGGCAGGAATCTTAAAAAAACCATATTTTAACTATTTCAGAAAAACTATTTAAAGTTACATTGTCATGATGTAGGGTATAATTTAGTCGGTGTAAAATCAACTGAAACGATTTACTCGTTTTACTTAAATTTATAGTTTCAAAATATTTAATATCAACCACCTTCATAAAATAAATAAAATGAAAATCCCAATACTTTCTAATTTATTACACAAATTTCCATTTCTAGAGCTATAAATAAATCAAACCAATTTGAAAACTTAAACCCTTTGACTGAAAGATTTTATCGTCTACTGCCACATTATATTTGGCGTCATTATACTCAGTAATCGTTTTTAATGTGCCCTACATTTATTTACGTCAGGATAAAATTCAAAGCGTTGAGAAAAGAAAAATCTTAAGTTTTTTTTTTTAATGAAAAATCACTTGTGTCCAAAGGAATACACTAATAAATTAAAGATTTAAATTTTTACCTGAATTTCGTTGTTATAATTCGAATTTTTCATGGAAATATATTTTTCTTTTTTCGCAAATCCTTCCCATTTAATTAACAAATTAACAAAAATAGCATTAAAAAATAAGGAACAAAATATCCTTGATATTTTTGTTAAAAGTGGAGGAAAAGTATAATTAAAAGGGTAAGACAGAGTTAATAATTTCGATGTGTTGATATGATCACTTTAAAGCTATGATAATTAATTTTAAATGTACGTGTGTGTGTGTATGTATGTAAAGAATTAAAAAAGCAAAAAAATTAAAATAAAGGAAGAAATCGAATTTTTTCTTTCACTTTCTTTTTAGTCTGCTGTTTTGCCCTCCCCCAAATATTAATCACTATAAGTTCTCAATTAATTACATTTACCCACCATGATTCTAAATTTATAAAAACAAAAATTTACTTTTGTTATAAAATTCGTTATTTTTTGTATTCTTATCTTTACGCGAAACCTCGACCAACAGTCCTTGAAAATTTTAACTAAAATTTTATATTTAATTAAGTGAAACAAATTAATCGATTCTTGATTATTATACACTAAATTAATCGATATGTGTATACTTGCTATATACTAGAGAACCTTTACATATATAGAATTTTTCTAATATATTCTATTAAAATGAAATCAAACGGCAACTAATGAATAAATCCTGCGAGTTATAGAATATGTAAGCAACTTTTTTATGTTTCTTTTTTTCTTTTTATAAAAAAGATAAAAAAACAACCGCAATGACGTCATATCACAAAAATGTTTGACCCCATTGAAAAAATGAATTTTTTTTTAAGCACATTTATTATAAATAATTTTATTGATTTTAGAATAATTAGGGCGTTTCAGCAAAATTCATTTAGTCAAGAATTTTTTTTTATAAGAAAAAGTTTAGATGATTTTGAATATCTTGTATACCTTCCGCAAAATCGACTCAAATCAATTTTATACATATAAATATCACAATATATAATCTTGTAAAGAAAGATAATAAAATTTAAATCAGAGGAAACAAGATTCTAAAAATTTATATACATATGTATACATGCATAGGAAGCAATATTGAAAAAATTGAATTTTCATCGAACGATATGAAGGTAGATAAGGTGTTCTTGAAAGCAAACAGTACACAAGGAAAAAATATTCGCGTGGAAAAGAAAAATGTTGGTTTTCTACATTTTTTAAAATTATTTAAGATTTTTTTTTAGAGAAAGCGAATGCTTATTTCGTTAATCACAAGTTAAAATATAATTTTAATGTATCAGAACTTAAAAATGCTAGTGCCAATTTAATTTGCTTTAATAAGACGACAAAAATTTACTTAATAATTAATTTTTGTCACAGAAAATATGAACAATAAAAGTAAATGTAGAAATGCTGACTTGATAATAAAATATTCTTGACTCCTGTAATTTAAATTGGTAGACTAAGAGAATTTGTTTAAGTTTATGCTTAGTTAAAGCTAGACTTTTGAAAATAAACAAGCATTTTGTTTGAGTTTAAAAATTTAGATGGGTTATGAATTTTGTGAGGCTAAAAATCGTACGCACTCGTCTAAAAATACTTTGTCGTATTCTTAAATTGGAATGTTTGATGCGAACTGATTCAGTTTTAAATATTTTTCATAATGAATTTATATTGAATCTTTTTCATATTATTTGATTACTGACTAATTAGACCTAGTTTAGAACAAAAAACTTTTGACAAAAATTACGAAGTTTTTTTAAAATTTGTGGTACAAATTTTGAAAACTTTTTCACTGTGTAAATAACTTTAGGAGTATAGTGTTTCTTTTCTAATAACACTTAATAATTCTAAAAACAGATTAGATCCAGCTTCCTTATACCTATATATATATATATATATATAATTAATGTTTGTAAAGATATAAACTTAGATTCCATTCAAATACATAGCTTGTCTTAAAAAAATTCAAGACAACCTAAAAAAAAAATTCATGTAAGAACTATCTATTCACTTGGCAATTTATTTTCATAAAATATTAATAATTTAAAACTTGTTTAAGTTATTATAAATTTTTAAAAAGGTAACAAACACTTTTGTGTTATTAAAAATATAGAGTCCTTTGAAGGTAAATGTACGGTTGCCTTAATAATAGAGAAAAATAATTTGAAAATATTTTTATATAAAAGTTAAAAAAAAGAATTTCTTGGGTGTATTCTATACACCTGTGTACATGACATTTGAATATGTATGTGTTTATGTTTATGAATATATCTTTGTAATTTTTGCATACTTTTGTGCGTTTTATAATCATTGCTTCTACATAGAAAAGGAAAAACCCAAATAACCTTGAAAACAAGTAGGCGCAAATTAAAATGAGATGTTTAGTGTGTAAGCATATAATTTTTTTTTTCTTTTTTGAAATCTTTATTTTCTCATTTACCCCGCCATATTATTTTATTTTGCATCTGGATTCTAAAATAGAATTATCAATTTTTTTTTTGAATTTAAGAGGAACCTCAACCGTTAACGCTTTCAATTTTCTCTTTTTTTTTAAATTTTAAATTATGAAATTTTGGCAGGTGATTAAACAAAATTGTAATGCAAATTTGATAACTATGAAGAGGCTGTTTTTAGTTAGAAATGATAAGAATAGAGTTTTGAAAATATTTTGGCTTCGAACAAAATTAGATTGTTTTGCTTTAATTTTTATTTAGGCTGCTTATTATTAAATGAACAGTTTATCATAAACTATGAGCTATTATAAATTGGTTGTGATAAACTAGATTTTAATTGTGATTTGTTATGTAAGGATTAAAATTTTGTGGGAGAAAAATGTTATTTGATATCTGTACTTTATGTTGAATATTTTGATATATCCGGACTGGAGCCCAATCGTACTACATATAGATGAGTACTGAAAACTCTTTCGGATAAAATTGACATTTAAATGCCAAGAGGTACACTTTGGAACTGTCCTTTCAGTTACTTCCATTCTATGCATAATATCTGTGCGAATAAATGAGTTTTAGAAGAAGTTCCTACTCTGGAGAAGAAGAACTACTCACCGCAAAAAAAATTAATAATTAAGATTTTAAGATAATTTAAACGGTCACACTCATTCTGAAAGTATTTTATTTGAACAGATTGAAGTTTTCAATAGGGTATATACGTAGCTTTCACAACAATATCCTATCACAGCATGAAGTGAGTTTTGAGAAATACAGGAATCAGTCAATAACTACAAACATACATCTAACACGGAAATACAAGTTTTCTGATATTATGCATTGGTTAAGAACGTCAATATTCTTAAATTTTAGTAATCGAGTGTATATAAGTATATTGAACTTTTAGAAGACAGAAACTAAAGCTTGAGCTAATGACATGTTGGCTACAATATCAGCAATAAATAATAAATTTAATTATTATACCTAGCTATATTTATGAGAGTAACTATGATGCAAAGTTTTGTAATATTGTAATAAATTAAAAAAAAAAACATTTATTATATTAAAACAAAAATGCTAACAAGCAGTTGG